CATAACAGTGAGATTCCATATATTGTCTCCTCGTATTAATCTTTCTTCTGGATGTGTAGCCAGCATGCATTTTTTTTCAAGACGTTGCTTATGATGACGTGAATGAGAAATAATATATACAGTACATAAAATTGCTTGAAGAGTTAAAAGAAGCTTTGGTTTTTTATACAAAGAAACCATAATTTGAGTAAGCCAAATTTTCCAACCTTGAAAAGCGATAGTAAGTATAATTGAAGTAAAAAAACAAACTATTTTAGAAACTTGTAAAATATCAAAAGGTTTGGATGGTTGATTACGTTGTTTTCATTTTCGTTCAATAATTAAAATTTTTTCTTTTCTAGAATAGTAATTAAACCTGTAAAAAAACTAGAAAGACATAAGGGAAAAGCATCATAATACTCTTTTAAAGAATTCAGATTTTCCAAGCAATTTAAATTTTGTTTGAGACTTGAACGTGAGTGTCATGTTTTTAAACCTAATAATTCACCAAATTCTAAGTATTCAACTGAATTCAAATTTGTCGCTTTTGTTGTTTTATAATCTTCAACTTTTTCAAGATGCATTGCTATTTGAATGAGAAATAAGGTTGGTATTGAAGTATTTTTTGATGTATATGATAGTTTGTTTTTATTAAAGAGATTTAACGTAGGAATTAAAGCTAATAATAATTCTTCTTTTGCTGTTTATCATTAGATGTTGCGACAGTTGAAATCCATTGTGCAAACAATGTTAAAGCAGCTGCAGTATCATTGATATGCTCGTCTTTTTCTATGCAAGTTTTTATTTTAGTTCCTGATCCTCGTGGTATATATAAATGTCCTCCATTTTTTTGAAAACATTCTGTACATATATATCATGCCTGTTCATTTGTCTGAGATTTTAAAGCAATAGTTGAGTTTGTATCGAATACAGGACAAATTCATAGCGTATTACAGGAAAGTTGAATATTTCGTTTACATATTTTCCATAAATGCTCAATACAATTTTGCCCCTGGCTAAAAAATGTTTTATTTTTATTGCAAAAAAGACAACGTCGCTTTTTTACAAAACTTTCATTAACTGACCGTTCCCGTTTTGCATTAGAACTGTGCAACTTATTTTAATCTATGATAAAGTGGAATTTGCAAACACCCAACGTATGTAATGCATTTTTAGTCTTCGTAACAGCAGTCTCGTCAATTTCTCATGTGCCAAATAATTGACCTAATCTTCGTAATTCTTGAGTTTTATTACAACATTTAATTTTGCCATCCGTAATATCCTGATCGATAATAACACAAGCTGTTAAATTACGAGTTTCCTTATGAATACTTGGAATTATTAATTCTTCCTCTTTTTCGATATTTGTATTTGCTAAAGATGTCATTTCTGAATTAAAACTATAATCAACTTCGTCCCAGTTTATATCTTCTTCATCAGATATGGCAGTATCTTTTGCACTTATAAATGCTTGAAAATCATATTCGAGAATTTCATTTATTTCATTTTCGCTATTTGAGGTTCATTTTATATAGTCTGAATTACCAATACTTGTTGCTGACTCTTCTTGCTCTAAAGAATATGAGTGTTCGCTATTTTCAATACCAACAGAAGAAATAGTTGCCATTTTTAATATTAAGATCCTTTTGAGAGTTTTCGGAATATTGTAAAAGCGTATTAACTAAGAAATAAAACTTGTTTTTGGGAAGCAATAATATTATAAAAAGATTATATTTAATTATAAATGTCATATAGTTGCAATAAAAACTAAGATAAATTTTCTTGTAATTTTTATATAATATCGATATATGTATATTGATTATTATTACACTTGCCCTCATTTTTGCGTGATAGTTTAATTAACCCACTATTAATCTTACTAACTCGTTAATATAGATCTTTAACTAATATATACGTACAAATGTCTAAAGTTTACTACTTTTACGCAAAGATCTTTTAAAAAATATTTCAGCTATAGCAATGATAATTAGCTAAATAAAAGGTAGCAAACTTGAAAATTAATTTCAATTAATATCATGAAATAGGTAGATTTGTAACATTATAATGTTATGATAGAAACAAAAATTTTGTTTTTCGTCATTTTACTAAGAAACATATAAGTGTAACAATGATTTATGTATTCGCTGATCCATTAATTAATACATTGGATGAGACATGTTCTGTGACCGATATGCAAAAATCTTTATTAATCCAGATAACCAGGCCCTTTGGGCGCCTCTTTGAGGCATGATATATTTATATCAGAGAATCGTGATTAAAATTTATTATATAACTACGAGATAATAATCTAGACTATTCACATAACATTTTTACTTTAGTGTACTATTCAGAATCAGATAATGGATCTTTAGCCTTTAAACCACGTCGAGCACGCGACAAATCTAAAAGAAAAATAGTTGATTATTAAGATCTGTTTTTTAACCCGCAAGTTATAATAGAATTACTTACCAATATGCCCTCTCCTACAATCGGTGGATGATGGTGGAACTCGAATCTGATTGGCTTTTGGTCTGTCAAGATTGATTATCCAGTTTAATCCATTCGCATTATTCAAGTCTTGGTGGGAAACCGTAGGAACAGCCGATCCATTCACATCTCGCTCAATTCCATCTTTTCGATCTTTGTAAATCTCAGTAAAATTACGCAGATGATGGAAGAATATACTATGGACGAAATATATGATGCTGTGTCTTATCCCTCTCATGACAGGAAAATTGCCATGTAAAAGGAGCCGTGAGGAAAATGCAACAACTTGTTCAGGCCTGAGAGGTATTACGATCTGGAGTTGTGGGAAGCAAAGTTCACCTCCATCAAAATCTCCAAGAGTGACCAAGCAACATAATGAATTCGGCTTGTCATGCTCATCCCAGTGAAAATCGCTTATAGTATTAAAATTGATCGCAATCATAGAGAAGATCCCAAAGATTCTAGGCGCAAATACATCCCATTCCAGCTTGCTTAATTTCTCATACAAATTCTGGTAATATTTTTGAAGAAACCGATTAATGGAAGTTGACAGTGGTTTGAGATCGTGAATTAATTTGTTAACACACTCTAAATGGTCAATATTATGACTACTTGCACTGTTCGAACTTGTGTAGGGAAGGGGGTTATTTAAAGCAAATACGCCAAAGTGTTCAATGAAATTTTTTCAGAAACTTTCGCTTCTGTGCGATGGGTGCTCTAATATATGAAAATAATAATGATTCACCACATCCATTGCTTGGATTATCGTGGTTGGATTGTTGAGTATCTCGAGGTGGATTAATGTTCATCCATACTGATCTGTAATGCATTCTGGATTAATAATATAATGAAATTGAGATAACTTATCCAATGATTGAAAATCATTATGCGCAGAAATGGTGAGTTGGGTTTTTGTTTTTCAGGAGATACGTTCATTTATCATAATCGGAGAATTTTGCGAATTTATATTGCTTCTAACTTCCATTGCATGTTGGAGCTTCTTTCATTTACACCGAAGATGCTGACGTACTTCCCTTCTTGTGAGTGATTCTTCCATCCCCAACCATTGACCGAGTGAGAGTCATAAATCTTCATTCAGATTCTCAGTTCGATACTTCACTTTACTAATATGATTACCTTTGATTATTTCATCGTCGATAAGCGCTAGAAAATTAGGTGGGATTTCTGATTGCTCAATACTATTTATGAATCTAGATTCTCGAATTAATGTTTCCATTAACAATTTCTCAGCTGAAACTTTTTCCCGACTTTTAACACCTTTTGACGCTACGCAATCTGATGGGGTAAGGGGGACACTCCGCCATTCTTTCTCGATATAGAATATTTTGTCTTTTGTGCTTAATTTACGGGTTCGATGCTAATTGTAATAGAATATCCATAAGATTAATAATAACAAAAGATAGTCATTTAACAATAGATTAACCCCTTTAACCAGATTTTTCTTTTGCGGATTGAACAAACCATCCAAAACAAATTATTAAGTTATTTAAATAATAACTACGTATTTGTTGAAATACAGATATACAAAGCCAGAGGTATAACTAAGTATACCCAATAATTGCTTGAAAAAGAATGACTGATCATTTGCGGAGCAAAAACACAAAGAAAACCTGACACGAGGGATAGTCTAATAAAAAACAATATAACAATATATACTCGGTTTGGGTCAAAAATAATGCACGGTGAGACGAGTCTTATTTCGAGAAGAATATCGCTTATTGACAACGGCATGGTTGGTGTATGCTCATTTTGATCCACTGGTAAAGTACTCGAAGAGCGTCCCATAGGACCTGATTTTTGTTCCTTACGAAGCTTACATTTTTTATTATAGCGAACACTATGTGACAATTTCTTAGGTATTTTCTCTTGCGACATACTAATATAGGAATGAAAAGCGGTGTATTACTAATTGGCAGAGAAATCAAAAGTAACACTATTCGACGAGCTGTTAAGATAAAATAACCCTAGAGCCGATGTCCTACTCACTTGCAAAGCAAGGGCACTTACGTGCCAGAAGAATAGTATTATTTTCGCAAGAAAAAAGAAGCGTGGGAAGCAGAGGTGGATAATCGGTAAGGGTATATGGTGATTACCCAATCAAGATGAGACAATCTGGGATAATCTATTTCGGGCGTGAAATCTATTTCGGGCTGTACTACAAACAAGCATAGAATTAATTTCCTAGTGTGACTATACGACTTAATACTTTATTATATACCCAATAAATAATGCGTAATGATTATCTGAAAAAATTGATTATACTAGTGAATATCGAGTTAAGTTGGTCAATAACATTAATATTTGAAATCAGTAGTCTATACTTTCACTGTTACTATTTGGATTGAATTTTGATATTTATTTATATAACAATATTCGCCACTATCCCAAATACCCTCTATATAATTTTTTATATTTTCTTTTTTATGATTTTTATTACATAAAGAGCAGGGTACTGATCTATTAAAATCAAAATAATTATTTTTAAAGCTATGTTTCAGAGTTAAATAAGGAAATCACTCTAATACCATTTTAATAACGTGTTGTTGTCTTTCTTCCGGATCTTTAGGTATAACAGAAATCAGAAATTGTCGTTTAGATGATATAGGTAGAATATTTATCTGCGGTACCCTCACCTGAGTTTCCAGTGAACTGTCTTGTAGGATATGATTATCAGCATTTTTGCTTTGTGGAGATTCAGAAGTTTCAGACTTTATTCAAGGATCGAGTCCAGTCTCTTCCATATATGCTTTATATAATCTAGAACGAATTTTATCTGTCTGAGAACTTGGTAAATCAACTAAATTAGCATGCCATTTGCAATAGTCATTAGTTAATATCTTGCTGGAGGTAGTATTAAGGATGCTTGCCTAAATCCTTTCAGAAAAATATCGTCATAATTTTGACAGGTTACACACTAATTGTTAATTAGAATTTCGACATAATTTCGGTTACGACGGGTTTCAAAATTCGTCAGAATTTCGACGGGTTATTTACTAATAGTTTATTATAATTTCGACAGAATTTAGACAGTCACTAAGGGATTTCGGCAAGCAACCTTAGGTAGTATCAGAAAACATGTTATCGTTTTACATTAATGCAAGTCAATTCAAAATTACTATCCATTTGTACAGGTTTATGTAATTATTTACTTATGTTGTGATCTCAATTTCATGCCCCTCACATTTAATAAAATAGGATTCAGCTTCATATCTACCTCTTATACTCTTCTCATCCTTATGACTCAACTTGCATGCTGGACATAATGACTTATCAATAATTTCATAATAATCAAAATTTTCGCTACTAAATTCTCTATATATATCAGGATACTGACCTAATATTTTATTACGAAAATAATTATGATCATGAGTTGAATTATTCTGTTTTTCAGGTATGGTATTATTTGGTTGAGATATGAATGATTCATTTACCTTGACTTTCAGTGAGGCTTTCTTGGTAGGTGATATACTAACATTGGCTTTCAAAGTGGAAGGATCCGAGACTTGAGCACTTACCTTGATCATTGAGCCACAAGCATTAGAGGTCGGGGGTAGGAAGTGTTGAACGTTTGATTCCTCGATAGTTATATTTGTCTCAGTTTCGGATAAATCATCTAAAGGATTGTTAATAGAACTATCTTGATTATCGGGAAATTCGGCATTAGGATTCTTGAAGAAATAATCAATGATGATTTGTATTTGACTATCGGATAATTCAGAAATAGAGTTTGCACTATATGTTTTAATATACTTAATTTTATCCACTCCTATCTTTTCAAATAGCTCATGAATCTTTCTAGCTCTATATGTCTTTTTGTATAAATTTTCTCGTTTGGTACCAGGAATTTGCTTAATAATAAAATTATAAATTATTCCCTTTGCTTTTTTCTCACTAATCTGATCTGTTCTCATAATCTCTTTAACCTGATAATAGAATTCCTTAAAATAGTTATATAAGCATAAAATTTCAGCTTGATTAGCTTTTACTGTTTCTTTTTCGGCATTACATGCTTTTTCATCTAAGCAAGCTATGGTTTGTAATACACCAGATATTTCTTGGCATTTTTCCTTCCGGACCGGAAGCGAAATTTCTATCAAATGATTTTTAGGTGAAGTGATGGTAAAATCAAATACATCTTGTACAATATATTGCGTTGTTTTCTTCTTGTGCGATTGACCTGAGTATATCGGTACATCATCAGATATAAGGAGCTTTTTTTCCCGATTCCTCTCTCTTATCTCATTACTGACCTTTTCCTTATATTTTGAATCCACGAATTTGTCAACCTCCTTATCTTCTGGCGATATGGGCGAAGAGTTGGCATTAATACACTGGCTTATAACGGTGCTAGGTATATCAACATTTGTGTCTTCCTCCGGAGAAATCTCGTTTTGTGACTTCCTGAAATCCTGTTCTAATTTCACAACTCTAGCTCTAAGTTCGATATTCTCAGCATCACTATCTCTCCTATTTTTCTCTAACTCCTCGATTCTGCTCTTAAGCTCAGCATTCTCTTCCATAGCCCGCTTTAATTTTGTATTCTCGGCCTTGACCTCAGCGTTCTCTTTTCTAAGCCCAGCAATCGTGGCAATTAGTTGAGAATTTAATTCTTGTAACGAATCGATTTTTGATTGAGTGTCTGACATTACTTTATATAGAAAGCACAATCATTCAAAATCTTTTTATTATGCAGATATCGGCATAAAGTACCGAAGTTAAATTCATACGGATCATTTTATGTAATATAATGGATTATAAAACCATACGCCAAGAAAATACATTTTAAAATCATGATAAGGTTACTTGTGACGATAACCTTGATCATTAAGTCACGAGACTGAACTTCGGTCACAAGACCAGTTGATCGTAAGTATATCAGATGAGACAATTCCCACGGATCTATTGTCAAAAAAAAAAAATGGATGCGCCTATTTATACTTTTGTTACTGGTGTCCCTACTGATCCTCAGGTTCTGGCAGTCTATAACGGTTTGAGTAGGCCCCAAAGAGCCAGGTATGCTACTATCACTACTGACCAGGGAAGAAGCGATTTCTTGTATGCAGTTGCGGAAGAAAAGAAAAAACCGGTATGTTTGCTTAGATGGTGTACATTTGCCATTAAATTTTCACTGAGACTTGTTATAAATGTTAGTGGTGGCGTCGCTTAATTGATTTATTTCGATAGCGACATTATCTCAATCTTCTTTATGCTATGATCAACTTACTTTCCGTCATCGGTTTTAATGTCTGGAGCCACTTTCAAAGACAAGACGGTGATCAAGATTTTATTAAATGCTGGAATAATTACAAGCCTGAACAAGATGTTATCCTTTACCAATTATGTATTCTCTTTGGAACCCAAATTGTAATCATATTAATAACAGCAATAACAGAAAGATTGTTTAATAGGTTTCAAAACGCGTTATTTATCATTGTTCCAATAATTACTGGGATAGGGTTGGCTGTAGCGGGAGGCCTAACTTGGACGTTGCCAAATACCGCGATTTCTTTTGTAGGAGTTGGGATATTGTTTGCGGAAAGTGCTATGTATTATTTTAGTGTATACCGTTAATAATAATGATGGTGAGGTTAGATCTTGAAGGATTCCATTGCCTACATCCACTGTGCACTTAACCACTACCTACGGCACTGTAATCGTATACGGATTCATTCTGTGTCAATACCTAAATTTATTGTGTGGTTGATTGAAACGACACTCACGTGCCTTGAGAGAGCGATGTTCATGCACATAGTTATTTTTTGATTTTCTCTTGGCTCATAGTAGTGGATTTTACTATCCCTTGTCGTCTCGTCCTCTTCTATATAACGCTTTTCATTTGGAATTAGTACGATTTCGGAAGCTAATGATTTGCAATTCCGGATCAGCGATATGTATAACACGTGAAAAATTCATTTCTTTATTAACCAAAAAATAAATTACAAAGTCGGGTACTATTACATCATTTTTTTGCGCGGTATCCCTCGACCCTAGCCCTTTTTGTAGCCGGCGATTTTTCAACACACGCCCTATCCTTTAACAAACCAACGATAACACCTAATACCTTTTTTACATTCTTACGTAAAGCGAGGTGTTCTTCGGAATCCTCTTTCAAAGCATCTTCGGAAAATTCGATGGTATACGGCAACTTGCTGCCTTGCGAAATTTGGTTAGGGCTATATAGGAGAAAGTGCCAATCCCTCCCTAGAATTTATGGATAATTCTGAGAGATGTAATCATTAAAAATACGATTAAAATTCCATATTTACCTGTTGTAACGATACCATATAGGTAATCAAAGTAGTCGTCGTCAAATGCCTCACTGGCTTTCCGTTTTTTCTTGTTCGTCTCGAACGAGCTCTCAAGTTGAGCAATATTCTGAGCATAACCCATGGGAATTTTGTGCTGTTTGTCCTCAGTGATGCAAATCAAATCCTCGGTTTCCTAATATTAGAATGATTATGAGAAATTACTCGGCAATTTTTACTGCTAAACTTTCAATATATACCTTGATGGCGTAATCGACTCGGCCTGTACTTTTTTCCCCCGTAACCTCGTATTGCGGTCTCATACTAAACTGCTTTTGTGTATCGTCTCGTACGATATGAAGGGCAGAATGGAGTAATGCCACAACGTATTCGTTCCGCATGCTTTCTAAACTATCTACGAGCAATGACCCGTAATCTCTCAATCGGACTAAAATCTCAGCCATGCAATGTGCAAAATGCTTATCATTGTCTTGAACCTCGTAGGTTGGGAGGCTGAATAGCGGGATGGATTCAATACCATCACTATCGAGGCCATATTTTAATAACACTTCTCTTAGACTGCGGTACGACGAAAACGCCCTCAATTTTTTCTCCTTGACCTCTTTGGCGAAGTCGGTAAGAACTGATGCAGGCCCTCTTTCATACCATAGCTACGAAGTTTGTCATCGATTAATTTGAGGAATGCGCGACCGGTGATCTCCTCATTGCGTAAGATTTCGAAATGAGTTTCGTTAAGTTGCAAGTCTTCTTCCCCACGCAAAAATTCGATAAGTTTCTCTGTGTCCAGCTTTCTGACTATTTCAGCCAAAGTGGGAGCAGGCTTTTCTTCGGTCACATTGTTAGAAGACGAAGCTGGAGTTGAAGTGGCCGACATTTTTGAGCTATATATGATTTTTTCGTGGAATGTTATTGGTAGACTGCGGAATGGTACACAAGAAAAAGTGGAAAAAACGACAAATTCTACCGGCATGGGTATATGTGAAAAAGTGGGTCGGTTGCACAATGCGTTGGGGTATTCGGTGCACTATGTAGATCAAATTTATGTATAGTCCCATATAAAAATGATTAGATCAAATTTTTGT